TTCACAGGTATCCCATAGTGCCGCTGTTAATAAAGTATAAGGGCAAAACGCATAGAGTAACGGCGGCGGTTAGCCCGCGCCTGTCGCACCCCCTGATTCTGGGTACCAATTGGCCGGGGTTTCATCAGCTACTGGGGCAGTACGCGGGGGTGCGATCATGACCGGAAGCGGGGTGTAGCGTATGCGCGGCGTTCAGCGGTGACGCGGGGTCGTCCGACACTGACTCCGGGGGGGAGGAGCCGGCGGGTCCCTCACGGGATGTCCCGCCGGCCCCGGAAGTGTCCCCCATGGGTGATTTCCCACTGGAGCAGTCTCGTGACGGCACCCTACGCTCAGCCTTTGACCAAGTGATGGCTATTGATGGTCACGTGGTGCGCCCTGAGGCCGCGCAGACCTACCCGCGTTTCGTCTTATTAAACGACCGATTATATCGAGTGAGTCGTGACGCTCAGACAGAGGAAACACACACCCAGTTGTTGGTGCTGCAGGGCCGCCGGGAAACGCTTTTCCAGGCGGCCCACTATAACCCCATGGCAGGGCATATGGGCTATGAGAAAACTCTGGAGCAAATAACGGCCCGATTTTATTGGCCGGGCATCCGAGCGGATGTGCGCCGCTGGTGCGCGTCCTGCCCGGACTGCCAACTTGTTAACCAGCCGGCCATACCGAAGGCGCCGCTGCGCCCTCTCCCCCTCATTGAGGTCCCGTTTGAGCGCATCGGCATGGACCTCATCGGGCCGTTTCACCGGAGTGCACGCGGCTACCGCTTTGTGTTAGTCCTGGTGGATTACGCAACACGGTACCCGGAAGCAGTTCCGCTGCGCACCATCTCTGCAAAGAGTGTGGCGCAGGCACTGTTTCAGGTCATCTCCCGAGTCGGAATCCCGAAAGAGATACTGACTGACCAGGGCACGTCGTTTATGTCTCGTACACTGCGGGAACTGTACGAATTACTGGGCATTAAATCTATTCGGACCAGCGTCTACCACCCTCAGACTGACGGGCTGGTGGAGCGGCTGAATAACACTTTAAAGTCCATGATTCGGAAGTTCATTAACGAAGATGAACGCAATTGGGATCACTGGCTAGACCCTCTGTTATTCGCAGTGCGGGAGGTGCCCCAGGCCTCCACGGGATTTTCTCCCTTTGAACTGCTGTTCGGCAGGAGGCCACGTGGGGTGCTCGACCTGATTAAAGAAAGCTGGGAGGACGGTCCGAGCCCCGCCAAAAACGAGATTCAGTACGTGTTGGACCTGAGAGCAAAACTCCACACTTTGGGGAGGTTGTCACGGGAGAATTTGCTCCAGGCTCAGCAGCGTCAGCAACGCCTGTATGACAGAGGGGCTAGGCTCAGGCAATTTTCACCGGGAGATAAAGTGCTTGTGTTACTCCCTACTTCCAGCTCGAAGTTGCTCGCCAAGTGGCAAGGACCCTTTGTGGTCACACGGCGAGTCAGGGACATGGACTATGAGGTCGCTCGGTCGGACAGGGGAGGAGCCATGCAGATTTATCACCTCAATCTCCTCAAACTGTGGCGAGAGGTTGAAACCGCTTCTCTGGTGAGCTTGGTGAAGGAGAGCGATGAGTTGGGACCTGAGGTGCCAAATTCTATCATTCCCATCCCAACGAAGTGTCACACTTTGATGCCTACCCCATGCCTCGGGTCGACGAGCTCCTGGACCGGTTAGGCACGGCCCGCTTTTTCACGACACTGGACTTAACCAAGGGCTATTGGCAGATTCCCTTGTCTGCCAAGGCCAGGGAGAAAACGGCCTTCTCCACTCCGTACGGTTTGTACCAGTTCGTGACACTTCCGTTTGGCCTGTTCGGGGCCCCGGCCACTTTCCAGCGTCTCATGGACCGGGTACTGCGTC